TTGAAATCCGAGAAGTTCTTCTTAAGTTATAGGCGTTTATAGAATTAACTGACAGACAGACAGACGGAAATGAGTGACATGGCTTTTCGTGATTTACCTACTTGTCATATAACATCCAAAGAACATAATATCGCATTTTCGTAGTTTTTCGCGATTACAATACTTCCCCTTAGCTAGGCGTAGGAAGTGAAATGATAACGGTCACAAAACACGAATACTACTCAAATAATATATCTTAAATATATATGAGTTTTATACACATTTGTGGAAAACGGTTTGTATTTGTTGAGGTTAGAATTGCGCACTCTAGCGGTTATTTCAGGAAGCTTAAAATAATTTCCAGCAATTTCTCTTAGCCACTGTAGTTATAAATGGTTCAATCGATATGTCAAGTAAGCATGCTGCTTTTGTCCGTCTGACCAACTACAATCAACCATGGACGGCTGTTTCGTGCTTTTGGAACTACTCATCAGCATGGTATAGGGTTTGCCTGTGACCTACCGGAATAAGACAACGCAAAACTCCATCTGGTAGTACGAGAACGTGATGGTAATAGATGGCGCTTTGGTCTGTCTTATTTCGATAGCTCTAGGTTGAGTGGTTGCCTACCGGCCGGTGTCCTTTATTAAAGACCCACTCGCAGAAGTATTACGTAACTTGAAAAGTGACATTATGCCGGTTTTCATTTATATAATGTCGGTTTTTTGACATTATATAGTATAGGTTTCCATACAAGACGTCAACATGGAACTAGCTGTCGTTTACTTTTTGCTCAATTGTAGCAAGCGCGGAATGAACTATTTGCACACTAGTCTACTTAACCAACAAGTTGACATTTTATAGGTTTTTTGAAATTATAGGTTTTTTATATAATAACCCTGTCGGTACAAACAGATCCCTTTGCTGCACCGTAGCTCGCCGAGGCGACTGGGTGAAAAAAAGCTCTTGTGCGTTGGTTGCAAAGCTGACGAGACGCAGCCTTTGCAACAGAAAAAACTTTGCCTTAATCGTAATGAGTTGTGCATGTTTAATATCGAGCAATTTTCAGCGCAGCGTTACAACAATCCGAAACGTGGCGTGAACAAAAGCTCCCGCTGAACTTTTGAAAAACTCAATGAGCTTTTGGAAGAGGCACTCCACTCGTCGCCGACGCAGCAGTGTCGCTGACTCTTTTCCTCTTCCACTATACGAGGGTTGTTCCTGTAAATCCTGGAAGGGCAATTGGAACAGTGCTTTTTTAACTACTTTTCTGTTTGCGCGGTGCAAAATGCTAAATGAGAAAATCTGAAGGTTCCGGCAAACAAAATATTTTTTCCAATACTAATCCAAGAAATATAACCATCATTGACACAAATGTCCCTGGGTAAATAATGAAAATATAAAATACGTAGGTATGTAAGAATGTAATAAAAATTGCATCCTGTCAATTTCATTAGTGAACTAAACATTGCATTTCGAAATATTTAAAAAAGATTAACGAATAAGAAGTATTTAGTTTATTAGCTCTTCACGTAATTCTTTCTTAAATACCCTAACAATTGCCATGTTGTCAGAAGGCTAGCAGTGGGAAAGCATTTATACTTTGTTCCTTTTGGATGGTCCATTCCAAATTAAATAGGCTCTCTGTTGCATTAATTAATTCCAGTTGTGTCATTTTGACACCAGGCAAGCAGATACTGAGTATTTGTAAAATGAGATGGAAACATCATGTTTGTTCCAATAAATGACGAGATAAATTTTATTTTATAAAGTTAGTAATATGTCTGACTTATCAGCGTTAACGGCTAACTTGACACTTCTCAACAGAAAGTAATCTATATGTGTGATCTGAACCCGCCCGTCACTTTATTGGGGAACAAGATCTTCGCTCAGATTTCGTTGGTCCTGGTCATAAACTCTTAAATCTCCTAAGATTCCCTCAGATCAATTTGTATTTGCAATTGACAAAATCTTACGATCTGATGAAAAATCATTTTACCATTAGTAACCACATGGGCTGTGTTGGCAACCAAAACATGCCACGATCGTGTAGAGAGCATAGTCGGTTGTACTTGCCGATCATCGTCTATGATCGCCTTCGACCCGTGAATTGTGGGTTTTTCGGACACCATTAAAGGGAATCGCCGGGTCATATTGATGCTTGCCGTTTGACAAACTATTCCGGACGCTCGTGCGTATGCTTGCACGATGATCGTGCCAATTATGAACGATCACACGATCAAGGATCATCGCCGATAGTGAAGCTCAGGCATTAGATTGATCGGTAGCTTCTCCCAAGGATATAAAAAATCTTGATGAATATTCTAAGATATACCAAAATAAGACAGCAGAAAGCGCCATCTCTTACCAGAATTGAACAGTGAGGGTGGGTACACCAGCTATTGGTTGAAACTGTAAAATTCTCAGTCTCCGTTTGATAGCCCATTTAGCACTGTGACCGCTAGATGGCTGACATTTCTGTTTGTATAGTAGCTGTGGTCAAGAGACCATTCAACTACTAAACATGGACAGCTGCTTCGTGCTTTTTGGCGACTTATCAGCATGGTGGCTTGTTCTCTGAGACAACAACCGGAAGCTTAGCAACTATCCTCTGACCTCTATCCATCCAAGGTATGAGATCTGTCGAAATATAATAGCACAAAGCGCCTTCTATTACCACAGTAGTGCCAGGTTGCATAGCAGCCATCGGTTGGAACTGTAAAGATCTCAGTGATGACTGGGCTATCAAATTTAGACTGAGTGCGTTAGACGTCATACCTTCGATAGACAAGAGATGTTATGCTTTCGTTGGTTATCCCATAGACTAAAAGCCTATACCATACTGGCGAGCTGCCAAAAGCACAAAACAGCTGTCCATATTCTCCCAAGATTGGGATAGGAAATCACCGTGACCACCTCCTCGACATACAGCAACAGATATGGTGCCCTTTATTAGTTCTGAAGAGATGAGCGAAATAGTTAAGCTTGATAGTGATTTATAGACCATTTTTTAGGAGTTTATGTCCAATCGCTAGTCTAGGTCGATAAACCAGAGACAGTGGAGGTTTTGCAACAAACTGATTGGAGAATCGGACGCATTCATGGAGTCATTGATTCGGTAATCATATTATAGCCGTTGACAAAAAACACGAAAGAAGCTGAATACGTTCTTTATACTGAACACCTGCTCTAATAATCAATTCATAAGTCACACTTTCTGTTATTGCTTTCTGGGACAGTGACCAAAAAAATGCTTATTTTACATTATTTCTAGAAATATCTGTAAGCGACCCCTCGTATAAGTTATCCGTCTGCCTCTTTCCCTTTTTAAGCTTTCGCTCTCGCTGTCGCTTCTATAGGATCATTATTAAGAACAAAAGATTCTGAAAATGAGATGATTATAGATGAGGCCTCCGCGTCCCTTTATTCTCAATGGGCTCGCGAATATGTACAGACATGAAAGCTGTCGTCTAGGTGCATGGAGCATGTACGTGTTTCGCCATGGGCGTTCTAAGAAGATTTAGCCTTCATCGGAGAATGTATCAAAATTCGAACAAAGTTGTGAAATTTTTCAAAGGTACGAGAATCATACAAAGATTCGGATTATAAACATTCGCATAAGTTGTGAGACCAATGATTAGGTATGGATAGCGAACAGTAGGATACGGCGTTCATTAGCCCATTCTGTTTAGTTTTTTAAACAAAACCTGAGTTACTCCTGCTTGGTGGATGATTTTTGGTTTTAGATTGACATTAATGCTCGAATATTAAGTTCAATCAATTGGGTTGACCATTAATTTTTCTGTCTGTTCACAAACTAATAGTCATGTTAGCTATAAGTCAGTATGGCTTCAATACAATACGTCGTACAATATTGCGGTTGTCCAGCAGCTGAAGAGTTTTTAAATTAACATGTTGACGGAGCCTCTCTTCGTGCCTGGGCGCTGGTTTCTTGATATTGTACATTGCCAGCAGTATAATCAGATTGTGATAAATATGCCATTTATGAACATACCAATGATTTTTTTATATCGAAGCAGCCGCGTAAGCAGAAGACTAAATACAGGGTACCGCTCCTGCCATGAAAAGCTTAACAAATTTTGTTTAACAAATTCGCTGCCAGTAAAATGTTGTTGCATGTAGTCAGGGGTCAAGGGGTTTTTAATTTTTACAGTGCTTTTCAAGCAGTGACAACCTCCAGGCGGGCCTCCAGGTCTCCCGTCAGAAAGGAAGTCGCAGTTTGTCTTCTTTTCTCCAGCTGACCGGCACAGATTGTCACTTTAAATACCTTCATGTAGAGTACTACCATCAACAGAGCTGTAGATCCGAATGATCGATCGGGAAAAATGTAAACTAGACTTGCAGCAAGTCGAGATAGACTGAACGGCAGTGTGTCATTGTTTTTATAGAATCCAACGTCTATCGTTTGTGGATCATGATGACAGTATTAGGACCGTTTGTTAAATATACATAGATCTTCAAAGTTCATCTATCGTACTTATCAAAGTTCAACTACCTGCATCTAGAAATTAGATCACCTGATCTGAAGACAAATTTGCACCCATAGTATGATAGCGACCTGACCTCCATGCCTGGCGCTATCGGTACGGGTATCACGTATATTCAAAAGTGACATTATGCCGATCTTTTTGATATTATGCTGGGCTTTTTTTGATATTATGTAGGTTTTTCTACAAGATATTAACTTAGCAATTAGTTGTACGTGTTGACTAATCGTCATGAGGCTTATTATCAATCTTTGGCTCTGATGTGATGTAAAATCTGCTTCTGAGATGGCATTACTGGAGGTCTAAGCTATAAGTTTGGGATGGGACCTTTACATAGAATACGAGGGATGTCTTTTAAGTTTTGGATATAGAAACATAGTAGCCCGCGCGGATCGAACGTCAGTACTGAATCTTAACCTCACTTTTTAGTAAACTTAAATTCAAAGTTTCACAACAATACGTGCAGTGTTCTCACTACAGTGAATTTTTACGTGTCTCCAAGTCATTAGAAAAATGGAACTCAACCGAGAACATTTTCGGGCCATAATTTATTACAACTTTCAGAGACAATTATCGCAACAAGAATGCCTTGCTGAGTTACTATGTGGTTTCGACAACGAAGCGCCACATCAGTCGACAATGTCCCGTTGGTAGGGAGAATTCGAACGTGGACGGGTGAGTCTTAGCGACGATCCCAGGGTGGGTGCACCAAAAACGGCAGTTACGTAGGAAAACGTCGATGCTGTGCGCAAACTCATTATTGAAGATAGACATGTGACATATCGCGAGATTGAGGCGTCTTTGAAGATCTCAAAGACATCAATTCAAAAAAGTTTACATGAAGAATTAGGAGTAAGAAAAGTTTCTCGTTGGATACCCCACCTATTGACTGAAGAGCAGAAAGCAGCCAGTGTTAATTGGTGTCAAAAAACGCTTGACCGTTTCAATTCCGGAAACTCAAAAAATCTGTATAGCATTGTTAGTGGTGATGAATCGTGGATTTACTGTTACGAACCAGAAAATAAACGACAGTCGGCTGTTTGGATGTTTCCAAGGTGAAGAAAAGCCAACAAAAGTCATCCGTTCTCGAAGTGTTTTGAAAAAGATGGTCGCGACATTAGTGTCAAAAGCGGCTCATATTGCTACAATTCCTCTTAATGAGCAAATAACTGTTACTGCGGATTGGTATACCACCATTTGTTTGCCAAAAGTCATCACCGAGCTTCGAAAAATCAACCCTGAAAGAAGAATCATCCTCCACCAAGACAATGCAAGCTCGCACACAGCCCAAAAAACAAGGCAGTATTTAACGGAAGAAAACGTGGAATTATTGGATCATCCTCCATATCGTCCCGATGTAAGTCCTAACGATCTCTTTACTTTCCCGAAAATTAAAAACAGACTGCGTGGTCAAAGGTTCCAGTCACCAGAAGGGGCAGTTGACGCATTCAAAAATGCCGTTTTGTATCTGCCAGTAAACAAGTGGAAAAAACAATAAAGTCATTCAAAACTACCTACCGTGTTGTTTTATTTCCATATGCAAAACTTAAAAGACATCCCTCGTAGATGGCATGATGGATAAGCTTGTTTACACAGACATACTAAAGCATGTCATGTTACCCTATATGGAAAACCATATGCCCTTAAGATCAATCTCCCAGCAAGATAATGACCCGAAGCGCACTTCAAATCTCGCAAATAAATTCTTTCTGGATGAAAAAATACCAGTTCTCAAATGGCCTTCACAGTCTCCTGATATAAACCCCATTGAAAATTTTAATACTTTCATAAGAAAATACGAGATAAAAATTATTTAGACAATGATGAACGTTTTGCCGCTTTAGAGCAAAAGTGGAGACAGAGTCATGAATCTTATTTCAAGAAGCTTCTACAGTCTACTCCGAGACGATGCCAGGCGGTGATTGATAATAATGGTTATCTATAATTCAATGAACTTTGCTTCTTTTTTCTATAATTGTTTTGCTTTGTCTATATATGTTTGTCCTTCATAATTTTTTTCAATTATTTTTTTATTGAAGGGAGTCTAATGAATTTATTGATATATACGTGAGTATTATTGTATAACGTATTATAAATACAGGTTGGTGTATTGATAAAACAAGTTAAAAAAGAAATACAGCTCAATATTAATTTGTCTATATACTTTTGCCCATTACTGTACATGCTAACAGTAATTACACACAACGCGGGCGCGGTGATGATTTCCCGTAATTCTCCTTAGTTTTTCGTAATTTATAACTTTGAACATAACCTCTCTTCAGAAAGCACAACATAAAAATAACCCGTCGGGTACAGCCAATAGATATACTTCATTGGCAACATATTCAGTAATGATTTTCTCACACAGCAAACATCACTGATTTTATACACATGCAGACCAATACACATAATCATCCAGATGCAATCTTGCTATTTAACCAACTTTCTTCTCAGGGATGAAAACTACAGAATGCGTTTAGTTTAGTTGAGTGATTGCTCCTTAGATGGACGTTCACAACGATCCTAGTGAGCAAACGTGGAATGTCTGCGCCTTAAAAACTACCTAGTTCGACATCTTATAGGTTTATTTTTGACGTTTTATGAGGTTTTTCACATGATACCCATGCTGGTCGCTAGCCCATGCCACGCATGTTCGCTGTGAACGCCACCTATCAAGAAATGGCACATCGACCTTTACCATAGACCTTATAGCCTTTGGCCATAGAAGCCAGGAATAAATAGCATCCGCTAGTGCCATCTCCAAAGCAAATGTTACACCACACTAGAGTCACAGTACACAGGTCAAGTATTTGGACGATTAGACAACGCACACAACTAGTACTAGTGAACATAAAGTGAAGGATAGCTAGTTCCAAAGTAAGAATAAAGGTGATCAGGGCTGCGTTCGTACATACTTTGTACTTGTGCTTGGCTTTTATGTAACAAATGTTATTCAGCTGCTGGTGCATACGGCATTGGACCTTGAATTGATAGGAGGTGCATGACCAATACGTGTAGGAAACGTTGATAATTAATCAGAATAACTAGACGAAGAGTAAAAATGTAAAAGCCGATAAATCCGCTTTCTATGATTTTTGAGTTAGGCATGAAATTCGGTTAATTTCGATTTGATCTATCCGTTTTTAAAAGCAGATATGAGCAAAAGCCGCTAAATCCTCATGAAAAATATGTACAAACTCAGTGCATTCATGCAAAACCCGATATATCCAAAATTAAAGCAAACAGCGCTAAATCCAAAACTGTTATTTTGAATTATTATGCCATCTGTGAATTTATTATCCAATCAACTGGTCAGGTAGCAGTGAGCGTGTAGACATTATTATTTTTTCAGTGCGTCATAGATAGCCTATTCAGAATAAAAATATTTAGGAGGTTTTCTTTTCTTTTTTGTCTTTGGCGTGCCGTGTTGGTGTTTGTCTGGTAGTTTCTAAGTCAGTTAGTCCCTTTTCTGTTTTCCTGACAAACTAAAAATGGATGAAAGTCTATTTTCACTTCGCAGTAAATTATTTATTTAAAAAAACTGCATGTATTTTCCGCCAGTGATTGGTAAAGATATTCTAATACCTAATATGCCGCATTAGGAATTTCATAAAGTTTTAAATTCGAGGGAGATTTTTCTCTATAGATTTTTGCCGTTTTTCTCAGAACTACAAAAAGGATTTATCTGTTTTTGCATTTTTGCTGTTAATTGACGTCCTTTTATCTCTAGACCTATACATGAGAAAGTCACATTAACAGATTTGCTAATTGAAGTTCTTCTGTGGCTCAAATTACGCTTTCATCAAAGATAATGATGTAGAGTGACTTTAATTACCTCCACAATTATTGACGACGGGCGAACTGATCTCAGTTTCCGTTTCCGCACGATACAATTATTTCAGAGAATACTTGCCGTCAATCTCGTTCGAGTACTGATAACGAATCAGATATATAGTGTGCAGGAAATTGATGTCAATCAACGCCAAGGTTGTGTAGTTTTAGTGCATACTTTTGGCTAGATTGACAGGCACTGCCTACCAAAATGACCAACCAATACATCGGTACAGGTATTATGTATCTTGAAAAGTGAAATTGGTCGTTTTTTTACATAACGTCGATTTTCAGTTATCAATGTTTGGCTCTGTAACATCAGCTTCAGTGTCTAAGCTGAAAGTTGTATATTGTTGCTGGAAAGAAACGGCAGTACATAATTGCATAGTGAGGATTTGTGTGCTAATGATATGTGTTGATGATAATTCCATTGGTTTCTTGTCTCAAGTACACTTACTTGAGATTCAAAGCATCCCATTTTTTTATTCATTCTGGAAATTACATATCTAAAATTGCTGAATTTAAAAAATGAGAGAGATAAGAACAGTAAATCCGTGGTTGTTGAAGTAACAGGTAAGAAAATATGCTGGAATATTTATGAAAGTGAAAATTACATTATTTTTTATTTCCATTCATATAAATTTTATAGAAATTTATTTTGCGATGTCAAAATACAAATCTGCGCTTAGATGTGCGGCACTGCAAAAATTTGATGCGTCATTCCTAATTTCTCTGAGATGTGGCTTAATTGCCCCCAACGCGGACCCGGTGGCGATTTCCCGTAATGCTCCTCACAGTTTTTGAAAACACAAAAAAAGAAGGAAAAAATCATAATTTATAACTTTGAACATCTTCTGTCTTCAGAAATGACAACATAAATAACCTGTTGGGCACAGCTAATAGATATACTTCATTGGCAGCTGACTTAGTCAAAAAATTCTCACATTTGAGTTTTTATTACCTTTTACGTATCCCTAAGGGCAGGGTATGCTCTTCTTACCTGTAACAAGCAGAACTAACATTATTTACAGCTTCGCATGCTATGTGTGAAGAAATATGTTCAAATGAGTATCTTATATAAACTCATTTCATCATGAGCAGTTATCCCTGTAATAGTAAATCGATAATTCTTCAGGCACAAGTTCAGCATGATATAATTTGTGCCTTTCATTATCAAGGACAAGTAAGGAAATAATAATTTCCGACAAATAATCCAGTATCCACAAAATTTTAGAAAATAGTGCCCAAAAAATGGTATGAAACTTCATCTCACGTAAAGTAACATGAAGGATTTTGAGAAAAAATCGTTATTAGGCAGGGTAGCAAATACTGTGTGATATTTCTCGTAATTACCCGATTTCTGGACCTTAACAGGGTATGCGAAAGGTTCACGTATATTAAATAATAATCGCTCTTCTGAATGATATGCTCTCATCAAATATATAAATTATACAGGGTGTCCGCAAAGTTGGGGTTTTCCTTTTCAGAAACAACTACCCTTGAAATAACAAAGGTAATGTGTAGTGAAACGAGGGCGACCAAGTAAAAAAAAATAAAGGAAAAAGTACTCACTCTCCAGTTGACGAGAAGGGCTAAGTACGTCTCTGCCCGAAATCATACCGCTCCAACAGAAAATGAAATCAGCTGATGCGCTACCGAGCAGACGCAGGCAAACAAGGAAGGCAAAATGTTGCGTAAAAAGTCTAGAATCTAGGTATTGCATCCCGTCCAATCGATTTGGGAGAATAAATGGTCCAATGAGCATACCGTTCACCATGCCAGCCCAAACATTCACCGAAAATGTTTGTTGAAAATGTGCCCGACGGACAGCGTGCGGATTTTCTACTGACCAAACATGAGTGTTGCGAAAGTTATTCACTCCATTACGCGTGAACGTAGATTCGTCTGTCACCGATATGCACTTCAAAACGTCCCGATTATTGTCATGTTGATGCAACAACCACTCACAAAACCGCACTCTTGCTGGAAAATCGTCAGGTTGAAGACTTGTACACGTTGGACGTGAAACGGATACAGCCCCTCTTCACGCAGCGTTTGCCACACTTTAGTTTTTGATACTTGCACTTCTCTAGCCACGTCTCTAGTGCTTGTTGAGAGATTCTCGTCTACGCGATTACCTCTATACGCGTGACCATAACCGTCGGTTGAAGGTTGCATACTGACCTGACACACTGACCCCGACCCAGTTCTGTCTTCGAGTTGAGCTAGTGTCCTAGTACCAGTCGGGGATGTCGCGGCTAAAGGACGGTATTCAGATATTTTTGATGTTGCAGAGCCCTTTATCTCAGTTCCCTTAAGACATTGGTGTATATGGTACTAAGAAAAATTGCTTATGTTTTCAAGATCTACACGTCGTGTAAAGAAAAACCCCAACTTTGCGGACACCCTGTATAATTTTGGTGGACAGTGCCATCTGTGTGACGAATGAAAAAACGAAATTTTGGAGAAAATGGTATTATCCGGTTTTGATCACTCTGAAAAAGCGATAAAATTTTTCAAAAGATAGATTGAGATAGGTCTAAGAAAATGTTTAGACACAAAACGCCTTTCACTATGCACAGGTTCATCGGAATACGCTTCAAGCGACTTTTTGCGGCGTTTTTTGCAAAGCCGTTAGAAGCGGAGGTGTTCTGACTCATCTGTCAAAAATCATTTAGCAGCTTTGGCACTGTGTTGTTATTAGGCTAGCACAATTATATCTCAATGTGGTGGAGTGGCGGCCTGACAAAGCTGGGCATTATTTTTTAGAATTGATTACATCTGTATATGCAATAAAATGTGGGTGCCTCGATTTAAGAAAATTCTGATATGCGACTAAGACTCATTACATTTTTAAAATGCGACAATAAATACGATCCACATCAATCCATGAATAGTTTTTTTGTTTTTTTCTGGAGGCGACGCTGCATCCATGTACTATTAATCCGACTCTACATAGAAAATTATGCAGTTTTTCTAAGAACAAAATAACAATACTGCCATAAGTGCACGTTTTATAGGGTATTCCACATGCAAATGCATCAAAACACCAAATGAGATAAAGTCGTACGGTATCAAAAATAACCTCAATACAAAATAAAAGCAGCTACTTAAGACTCATACTTGCAGATACAGCAGTATCACATTGAGGTTGCAAGATCGATTTTTCCACAAAGGGTTATCGATGTCCTCCGTTCAATGTCACATCCCTAACATATAGCGTCCCTTTCAAAGTGGATACCTAAAACTTTCTGCCTTTATTACAGGAATAAAGATTAATTTGATAAAAACATATGGAGTATTTTTCATATCTTTCAAGTCTTGGTTATAGCTATCAAGAACGTGTAACTTAAAAAATGATAGAGTATCAATTTTTTGACATAATGTAGGTTTTTCTACAATTTGCTTCACAGATGTCATTATTGGAGGTCTAAGCTGTGAGTTCTATATAATTCCATTGGATTCTTGTCTCAAACACACTTGAGATTCAAATCTAGAAATTAGTTACGCATCCACTTTTTCTTATCCATTCTGGAAATTACATATGCAAATTTGAGAGATGAGAAATAATTATATTCACTGTACACTGTCGAATTACAAGCGATATACATGCTGACAGTAATTAGACGCAACGCGGGCGTGGTGGTGATTTCCCGTAATTCTCCAAGTTTTTGAAGACAAAAAAACGTAAAAAATCGGAATTTATAACCTTGAACATGACCTATTTTCAGAAAGGACAACATATAAATACCCCGTCGGACACAACTAATAGATATACTTTATTGGCAGCATATTCAGAAATGATTTTCTCACACAGCAAATATCACTAATTTTATACACATGCAGACCAATACACACACTCATCCAGATGCGATTTTGCTATTTAACCAACTTTCTTCTCAAATATAAAAACTATAGACTACTCGGCTTCAGAACAGATATGCAACCAACAATGCGTGTTGTTTAGTTGAGTTATTCCTCCATAGATGGACGCTCACAAAGATCCTAGCGAGCGTGCGGGTGTTATGTAAAAAACCTATAAAACGACAAGAAAAACCTATAAGATGTCATCTTGCAGACAATATAGTTTTTAGGGCGCAAACAGTCATTCCACGTTTGCTCACTAGGATTGTCGTGACCGTCCATCTATGGAGGAATCACTCAACTAAACTGCACGCATTGTTTGTTGGTTGCATATGCTTTGTGAAGCCGAGTGGTCTGTAGTTTTTATCTCGGAGAAGAAAGCTGGTTGAATAGCAAGATCGCATCTGGATGATTATGTGTATTGGTCTGCATGTGTATAAAATCAGTGATATTTGCTGTGTGAGAAAATCATTTCTGAATATGCTGCCAACGAAGTACATCTATTAGCTGTGCCCGATGGGTCATTTATCTGTTGTCCTTTCTGAAGACAGGTTATGCTCAAAGTTGTAAATTACGAAGAACGAGGAGAATTACGAGAAATCGTCACCTCGCCCGGGTTGTGTGTAATTAGTGTTAGCATGTGTATGACTTGTAATTCGATAGTGTACAGTGGATATAATTATTTCGTATCTCTCACGTTTTAAAAATTCATCAAATTTGCATATGTAATTTCCAGAATGGATAAAAAAAAGTCGATGCGTAACTAATTTCTTGCTTTGAATCTCAAGCAAGTGTATGTGAGACAAGAATCTAATGGAGATATCATCAACACATACCTACAACTTACAGCTTAAACCTCCAGTAATGCCATCTCTGAAGCAGATTTTACATTACATCTGAGCCAAACATTGATATCTGAAGTCTCGTGATGTTTAGGCAACAACTAAGTGCTAAGTTAACATCTTGTAGAAAAACCTACATAATGTGACAAAAATCAGCATAATGTCACTTTTCAAGATACGTAATACCCGTGCTGTGCCGATCTTAGACTATAGTCACCGACAAGTTACAGACTACTGTACGAACAAGCCACAAAAGCACAAAAGCGAAATCAATCTGTGTGTTTCAAAAACACACTTTCTTGTCTGGTAGCCAAATCAGCACGCAGATACTCTTACAACTTATGGCTGATTATGTACAATAACTTAGTGTTGGGGTGTTTACTTTGTCCGGGTTTCACCTATCTCCCAAAGTACTTTAGTTTTAACGCTTCCTAGTTTTTATTTTCCCTACCTTCATGAATTTGCAAGTACTCGTACAATGAACCTACCTTGCTCCTCATACCATTTCAGAGATTCTGATGACGACAATCCAAAATGAAACGCCTGGTATATGAAGCAATCTCGCATTCCAACTTATACCAGTCGCATTATTGTTTGTACGTACTAACTAGTTTCCATATTCTTGGAAGCAGTAACAATCAGAAGAGATCGTAACTATGTGGTGTTGTTCTCTATTCTGCGTTCTCAGCGTATTAGGAAATGCAACGAACGTATGCAAGAAAATTAACTCTCAATTGCATAATGGATACGACAATGAAAGTTAATTGTTCTAATTACATTTTTAATAAGAAGCCACCGATAGTAGGCGATGCATGTCATATTTTGAAGGCTGAAGTACAGTTGAATTTGAGACAATCAATGGAATTGATTCATGTTCTGTTTATCATGGTGCTGTTAAACGGGCAATATTTGTAGCCCGATGTTATATCTCGGACATGTCAGCTATGTCTCGGCTATATTCTGGCAATATTGTCTACATTGGGACAATCCAGCCAACGCAAACCTGTCTAGCGGTGCAGCGTCTTATGTTGAACAGCAGTAGCCGAGGAAAGGCTTTGTCAGTTTTCAGAATTAACCAACATACGATTAAATCTGACAGCCAAGTTACAACTGCTGGCAAACTATCCCTTAGCTCCTGCTATCAAGCAAAAAAGCACTGGCTGCTTTTCGTTGGCTGAACGATCCCAATATGTACGCATACCTGGAAGAGTTTCTCATCAGAAGGGCTACAAAGTCATACAAGAATGACTGACGCATCGCGGTAGCTTATATTACATTAAGAGGGATTCCAGTAGTTTGAAAATCTGACAACACTACATAAGAATAATTCAAAAAGATCATAAAGTACGAGATATCTAAAATGTCTCAAGAATTGCATAAAGTGCAGATCCGCAATGAGGTTTTTTTCATGAATTTCTGTTTCGTGAGAAGTATTATTTCATTCTGGCATGAGATACGTGAGATAATCTCAGGAAAAAATGTCTCATGCGCAATTCGGGATTCAACTCTAACATTATTTCACTTGCTGCACCTTGTTGTCTTGTGAGATAAAACTTGTGCTTAGGGAAATAAGTGACCCAAATGAAAAGAGAGGTTTGAAAAGGGAAATTTCTAGTTTCAGTTGGACTAGAGCCATGATATTAGAGTTGTATGAATCTTATTCTAATTTGTGAGAATGTTCGTCACAAAGCAATAAAAATGAAAATCCAAGTAAATCAGCTATGGACGAAGTTTCGAGAAAATTTGATATTCCTGTACAGGAAGTCAATGATAAAATACATAACCTACGCTGTCAAAACTATTGTTTAAACATACAAGGAAAACACAGCAAAAGTGGCCAGGCAGCCGGAAAAAATGTTGAGGTTCAACTTATGTTTCTATAATTTATATTGCCATGGAGCAGTCCAGTTTTCGGGACAATTGTGTCTTTTACAATACATTGCTAATTTATCATCTTATGATTGCATGACCTGAAATATGAATTTGGGTTTGTATGTAGAATTTTGAACTGATTACAAATATCCGTCAAAATGGTAGTTGCTGTTTGAATTTACGAGGTTTGACCTCTCAATGACATCTGAAATCGTTATTCAGATCATACTAGAAGTCACAGGCGTATTCCTGTTTTGGTCTAGAACTTTTGTAGGAACCTTTTTGCGAAAAATTCGTGGTTGCCCAGTATCCAGAGCGTGCGTCTACTTTGCAGACGTTACAACTTGGCACAACGGTTTAACACTTCTAGCTGCTTGAATTCATTCAAAACAATTCATTGCTATGTAGAAGTTCGTGCTGTTTACGAATCTACTGTTAAGAATGTTGACTGCTATTTCAATTTACGAAATGAATGACCTTTCAGGTCTCTTTCTATGCCATATTAGGGGCCACTAAAAATATTTTTATGGTCTTATAAAATTTTTGTATGAAGAGTTTTTCGAAAAAAATTAGTGAAGTATGTTGACTCTACACTTCCCAACGCCGTCATCAGTTCATAAAGGATTATGTTCAATAAAATTCAGACCTTCTAGGCAAAAAGTTAGCTACAGACATGTACATCAGAAAAATTTGACCGACCAAGTCTGTCAAAAAGCCCCACACAATAGGCTATTTGACAGTATTGAAAATAAGTTGCGAATTGTGGTGATCCTATTAGATAATAGAATAAGAAAACACATAGTACTTTAATGTACACCTAAATATGTATATTTTTTGGGAAATAATCAAATAAAAATCAGCTATTTTTAAAAATTCGATGGGTCACAGAAACGCCCTGCGATTGGCTGCGACTCTGGTGACGTCACATGCAAGTAAACAAACATCGCGTTGTACGTTTTTGCTGGCTTTCTGTGAGATATTCTATCATAATTCTATTTCGTATACAGATTTTTATTACTTTCTTGATCAATCTTTCAACTATTGGCATCATTATTCGTTGTGGACTTCAAAATGGACCTAAATTTTGTGCAAGCTGATAACAGCAATCTACGTAAGGTTGACGCATTAATGGTAGCATTTTTCTTCAAAAATAATGCGGACTACTATGCTGCGGAACTCAAACATGTGAAAACAACAATGTAAGTAGTAATAGAAATTATTTATTTATACCTACTAACCTTTATGTATGATCATTAAAAGATTTGTAAAATCAATCTTATTTTAGGTTATGTTGATGTAATGAAAAAAGCTTTCAGTTCAATATGATAATATGGTTCATATATGGTTTCATGAATAAAACATACTTTCATGTTTTGCTTTTGTTTTACAGGTCTGGAAGGGAGTCCTACGGAGACGATGCAATTGGCTATGTGCAGCTGCACCGGGAGCATGAACTTTGCACACTCAAGTGCAAAATGTGCCCAGAGCACAAAGTGAGATCAAAAGCTTATAATGTGACAATGGTTATCAACGAAAATGAAAGCGAGATAATAAGTTGTCAGTGCCATGACTGTGCTGCTTCAGCAGGAGGCTGCAAGCATGCAGTCGCGTTTTTGATGTGGGTACACTGGCGCAGTGAGGAACCTCCATCTACTTCGGTGGAATGTTATTGGAAAAAGCCAACATTGTCAAGAGTAGGGACTACTCTGAAGTACATCACGGTGCAGCAGATGTCGAAAAAGGAAGTACCGGACAGACCAAGTACATCAGCACTTTACACAGACTTTATTTTGGAAGCCAAAAAAAGAAAACTTCAACACTGTGAATTGATAAAATATCAGGACATAATGAAGACAACATTCAACAGAGCTGCTATCAGTGCAATTGAAGAAGCAACAAGAATGCAGTACAAGAGCAGCTTGTGGTATGAGATGAGGTATGGCCGTATCACAGCTTCAAAGGCACATGAAGTGAGCGTATGTCATACACCTGATGGTTCATTGGTTGCTACTATAATGGGCGCAAAAATACCAGATACTATTGCAATGAAAAGAGGTAGAAGTTTGGAGCTATCTGTCCGGAAGACAGTTAGTACAACATTGAACAAAAAAATCATGTGGACTTTATGTATGCCAAGACAATCCCATGCTTGCAGCATCTCCTGATGGTTTATTGAAAGATGCCATTGTTGAAATAAAATGCCCTACCAAAGCAAAAGCTAAGAACAATCATTTAAAAAATGGAATTATTTCAGAGAAATGTAAGGCACAGGTTCAATTACAGATGCATGCAACTGGTATGAAAAAATGTTATTTTTGTGTTGCTGATAGCAACTTTGAAGAAACAAAAAATGTAGATATTATTCTAGTGAAGTACGAAGATGATTATGTCAACAACTTAATAAAAAACTTGTATATTTTTTGGAAAAAAAATATATATCCTATTTTGTATCGTAGCACTAGTCTGTGAATATCAAATAAAAAACTATGCAGTGCATATTTCTTGTTTTATTATTATTTTATTCATGGTTTTACATCATTTATTTCTTTATTTATAGTAGTAGTAGTAGAAGTATTTATTCAGCCAAGTACAAAACACAAAGGTCAAATGGTATGTCACAAAAGAGGAGATTACATGATAATAATTAAGTATAAAGTATCATAACAGGCAAAAACCCATTATTTAATAAGAGAATCTTGCAAATTTATTAGAGCACATGCAATTATAATGACATGATCAAGTACACGACGTATGTTAGTATTTATCACTGAATGTTGCTTTAAAATATGAAATTCTCTCAAGCGCCTTATTACCCTTTCAATATGAATCCGCAAACTAGCTATTATTTTAGTTTGTCGAACTTCAGTTTTTGACAGCTTTGCACCAGCATTTACACTGGGTGGCCTTAATAGTTTTAGTCCCTTTTCATGAAGTATTTGTTCAATGTGTTTGAAGCCTCTGTCAGCTAAGCAACAGGATCCTTGGGGTAATCCATCTAGAAAGTTACAATTTTCTACTATTGTGGCATCGCTGGTTCTGCCCCCAAACCCATGCGAAACATAATTAACTAAACCATTAGGTGTGCAGGATACTAAATACTTCACAGTATTCCCCTTTTTGTACTCTGACCACGTCAATGACTGATGAAGAGCCTTTGATGGTTTTTGTATATCAATCTCTAAACAATCTATGATGCAACTGACATTATGATAGTTATGTCTAAATGAAATAGGAAGATTTTTTTTACCAATTTTTTATCTATTTTTACAATGAATGGTCTTAAAACACTAGCTATTATTGGTATATTTTGTAGAAACAATTTACTAGCATAAGATAATGATATTTCAAAATTATCCTCCAGTTCAGAAAATGTACTGTTCATTCTAATCTTTTTCAAGCATAGCAAAATGTGTTCTACTTTTATGCTTGTGTGTTTATGTAACAATTTGATTAAGAAATAACATTTTTGGAATACCAACATACATCATTGGTTTTTTAGAGATTGAACGCATAGTAATTTTGAGGCACTCTAATTTTTCAATATTCTCATTGGCATCTGTAACATTACTATCAGAGTCGGTAAGCCCTGATGTTGATGATGCTGATTTAGTTACAAAAGGTGATAAATGACGACCACTTTCAATACAGGAAATATCACTATCTGACTTTTCATCTTCAAGAAAAACATTTCTCTTGACTGCTTTGACAATTTCAGACTGTGATGGTCGAAGACTGCATGGTTTAATCTTAAAGGGTGAAGTGGAATGAGATGTTGTAGAAACTTTCATTGGTGAGGTAGAAATACTTATAGTCTGGCATCTTGTTTGCACAGATTTGCTCCTATGATGCACATTCTCTTTTATTGTTACTTGCACAGATTTTTCTGCAGTTATGATAGAGTTGGTAATAGTTTCTCTGTCTTGAGTTCTTGATAAACCTGAAACTCAAAATTAATGTCTTAATTTCAATGTAAATGATTACGTTAAGGCACTATGAAAAGTTGTCTACTACTTCTTCCATTATCACTGAAGAAAAAGTGCAGTGCTGGATAAGGGGTAGTGAATCACAACATCAACAGCTTGAGAGAAAATTACCCATTACCTGAAGTACAAGTTGAGCATTCTTGATCACCTAGCAAGTAAAATGTCCCACTAAAATGACCTATCACTTTGAATATATCAAATTTTAAACCATAAATATTATTCTGTGAAAATCTCAATGTGCTACAAATATGTCTTTATGATTTTTTTGAAAAATACCCTCAATACCCCTAGGGACAACAGTTACTCACCTTATTCAGTTCTGCCCTTTTTATTCAGAAATAATGGAAGAAGTAGTAGACAAGTTTTTATAAGGCCTCAAATAGGTTACAAAAATGTCTATCAGCTCTTAGACTATAATTTATGATAGGACACATGTAATAGATTACATACCTTGAGGTTCAATAATGTCTTGTATCAAACTCTCATCTTTTTGTAAGCTTTCAGCTTGGGCTTCAGTAGCATTTTGACTTTGCAAACATGTGTTGACCAAATCCATTCTTTTCCTCTTGACATATGCTCCTCGAGAAAGTCCAGCATCAGACAGTGGTCTTTTACGATCTTCTTGACAATGAAATTTTGTTGGCACAGCATCTTCTGTCAAAAGTATCTTCTTGCTGAAACCCATTTTGTACTGCATGTAGTTAATGGTGTCTTTTTCCATCTGCAATTCAACATAACTATCACTATCTAATAAGCAAAGTAGGTAAAATGACACAGCATAGAAAATTATTGAGATATGTAGGTAGCTAATATAATCAAAACAACAGAAAACATTTTGAAACCCTACAGAGTAATAAGTTTATTGTTAATAAACAGGATCTTTGATCCTCAACACTGACTTATCCTCAATATAACCAAAGATACATTTGAGGTTATAGATAGTTATATATCATTTCAATCTTAAAAAAGCGGTAATTTAAGCTACCTAGTAGATAATATATTCAATTTATACTTACATCGAAGTGATCTTCACACATAAATATATTTGAAGTCGATGAAATGCCCTTTGGGTCTCTCCGAGCTAATAGTAACCACTTTTTTCGTCTTTTACAATCGGTTGGAACAGAAACAAACAATGTTTGTGGACTATTTATACACGTATTCGTACATTTTGGCACTACACACCATTTATAGACCATTTTATCTATGATTTTATAGCAAAATCAAGCACAATAATGAAATTAACTTCGGCTGACAGCTCGTGATCGTGTTTACTGGCGTGTGACGTCACAGACGTCATCTGCCGGCGCCATCACAGGAATAGCGTTTTTGGCGCGGTTCTAAAAATTCAAACTTTAAATTTGATTTCTATTAAAAATAGTATAGATTTTCAGGAAATATTCATGTAGTGTGCTCATTATATATAAAAGAATAATTTAAAATGATTTTGCAAAATTAGTCAAATAGCCTATTAGTCCATAGACAATCTTTCCCTGCCCTAGGGGTAGTACCGTCGATCTGGCAACGTTGCGCCTGACTGCACGGCGCGGCATCGCGGCACCACGGCAGCGATGGAAAGACTGGCATGTCCGCCAGTGGGTCCAGAAAGCACAATCAGAAAAGCGTATCAAAAATTTTTTTCTATAATTATGTTTTAATGGAAAATGTACCGGAAAATCTATGATGTGTAAAATATGCCTAATAGGTACGAAGAATCTCTGAGGTCCGGAGCGTATGAATACACTAACATCAGAAATTTGAGAATTACGTTACCCAATCACTTATTCCTGATATTTAAACCCTACAGAAAATTTTCTGAAAATGATGCGGAGGCTCTAAAACAACACAAAACGAATTTTAAGCAATTTTTATTTTTTTTTTGTTTTTTGCATTCTTCTCCGCCGCTACAGGACCAATTTTCAAAAACTAAAAAGGTTTTTCGTCCTTGACATAGTAGTAACTTTGTGTACAAATTTTATCCAAATTCCACCAGTATTTTTCAAGTTCCAGTGGGGTCGAGGATTAGCGGGCAGACCAATATATAAAAACATTGTGAACAATCTCTGCTCCCCTCAACCTTCTGAAAGTATCTTAAATCATCGAGACTTGATGAAATAGTTCAGATGAGCATACGTCGAAAAAACCTGCTTTCGAAAATAGTATGTACAAAGTATTTTGACTAAATATCCCTGAATTCATTTAACCGACTCTGAAGACACTTTGTAATTTCAACAATTCCTTTTACCCTACTCAGGGTTCTGATATCAATGCCAACATGATAAGCCTCATCCACAACCGGTCCATCTCTTTGTTACGATTGCCTATTATCCAGCAAGCCTTGGATAGAAGAAAGTGAACGGCCTTCTTCCTAAGAATCCCATTATTATCCTGCTACAAAGCATATGAGAAATTCTTTTCATTCTTACCTGTGTATGCCAGCTCGCTATGACCTGTATATAAAGCAGTAGGGACCACTCTTATTTCATCAAATGTGGGTCAGCAGGCTATTGGGGCCGGTATTAAAGAATTGCAGGATTCCGTAAGGACTACAATCGTATCTTCCGAGAAGCAGATTGCTGAAACTCAGCCATCCTTGAAAATATCAAGGGAAAACTACGAAGATGATCAACAAAGTAGCAGTAAAAGTACTGGTGATGGTGTGGAAGCGAAGACTTGCTAAGGCATGTCCAGCCTTTTTTTACGTTTTAGTAAAAATTTGCTCTGTACGAAGCTTACTCAGTAGGCATTGCGGTTCAGTTTTTATTCTTTTTCCTCAATGCCCCTAGATAATACACCTGTTCATTTGCTCAAACCAGTGTTAAAACCATTGCTTCCATAATTCGTCTGGTATAGATTGGCATTTTCATCCCACACTGCCAAATACTGTGTATCATCAGATAGCAATCTCTCTTCCAACACATTTTAAGTAAGAAAAAAGTGCGAAGTTTCTGAATTTTGACTGTACGCAGGATGACCTAGTAGTCTTCTGGTGGTAAAATTGATAGTCGGTTATTGTCCGTAGTTGACTCTTCGGAGGTTTTCAATTCAACATATTAATTCGCTGTAATAATACGAGTAGTTGATAAAGTTACTAAAGGAACTATTTTTATGATATTGCGCAAGCCAAAGAACTCAATAATCATACTTTTCCTAGCCGATCGTATCGGCTTGGACTGACTCAAAATAATACAGCCACGATTCATCAATACCAGCGAGTTCAGGCTAGACAGAAGGATCTAGTCAAGGATTTGTTTCGGTTCCAGTTCTCATAGTCTGTAGTGAGAATCAAAGTGCACTTGATGTAAGTCAATCTTAAGGGTTCTGTCATCAAATCCGTTGAACAATTTAAAGACATGGTACTTATTAGGTAATTTGCAAAGAGCGGCTTACGCCTAATGTCGGTAGAACTTTTCACCGGTAAAATGATATTATTATTATGTTTATACAACGCTATCACTTTGCTAGGTATCGTAGATAAATGGTTCAAAAATATGCACTAAAACTATGCCATTTTGGAGATAAACAATGCAATGTAAACACATAGGCTTGGCTCATACTAATCTTTGTTGCCCATTACTATTGAAAAAACTTCAGCGGATTGTCTTGATACATTCTTTGGAATACTATTTTTGTACCATGCCACATGGTTCGCATTTTTGCTCATCAGTGTGCTTGTAGCGAAATTTCATTTAGCATCCGTCCAGATTCCTCTGGGGTTTCCTTATTCATTAACACTGGAGGGTTTACTTTAACTAATTTTACGATGACAGTCAGTATGTCTTGACCACTCCGACCGCGGACTGTCCTCTAAACCGAATTCACCTCTGTCGAGCTATTTACGCTTGATAATCTAAAAAATGGTGCATTTTCGTTCAATAAACAGTCAACCTCGGCAAGGCATTATTAACAAGAAAAACCACGTAGGTTACTATAAAAATAGTATTACGAATCTGAGAATGTGTTAGAGATACCATGTTGAAACTGGCAGACGCGTTTATTTATATATATTTAATGAATACTGACGAATTATATTGTTTTGCAACATAATGTGTTTAGGAGGTCGATCAAATGTATTCGTATTCTCAAAGTTGATGATTTCGTTTACAGAGTATATAGGTCAGGCAATAATAAGAAGTTTTCGTTTCGTTATTCCAACCCCCTAAGATAACCTAAATCTAAATAATAAGCCGTTTTGACTCCGTCTCCCTTCTCTCCTACGTCAAAGAGCATGCTTTGCAGTTCTATTGCTATGTGAGTAAGTATCCAAATCAGGCGCCGCGAGATGTGTAGATTAACCTAGTTCATAAATAAGCCATTTGAAAACCGAGAGTAACACATTCTTACAGCAATAATGTAGTTATCGACTTGATTAGTATACTGTGAGCCTCTTCAAAATCCTATGGATACTCCGCGAGTGTATTCGAATATTCAGAACCTTGCTGACGTCCTTGATATTTCCATCGGAGCCGCGAAGATGTGTTTATATTGTGCAAAAGCTGCCTGGGTGGACACAGTAGAACACCTAGACATGTTGCAAATTTATGAAGAAAGAAACAAGCTCGTGTTTTTGAATCGGACAGCGACAACTTTAAGTAGTAATTACAAGCAAAACATGTGACAGGGCGGTAGTTGAAATGCTGTACCAAATAATTTATGAGTATTTTCTTGTTTTATGTTTTGGGTGCTGTTTAACAACAAATTAACTTTATTATTTCAAACGCAGTTGTTTCTAAGAAGGAAAGTCCCAACTTTTAGAACACCCTATATTCACTACTAGAGGTTATTACTAACGGATTCTTTTTTCATAATTAAATTTTCTAACAGTAACATTCTGATAAATGATGATACTTTGTACTGAAGAATACACTTGATTTTGGGTAGGGGCGAAGGTAAAAACGCGACTAACCTAAGAAACCGCACGTGGTTAAGGGTAAAATCTAGCTCTGAACTGTTACTGAATATCCATCTTCTTGTCACAATTTATAGCATAGTTGTCGTATCCCTTTATATACTATATATCCATCTCCCTCATAGATACACATGCAACCTACTCCTGTATGTGAATGTTTGCTTGGTAAGCTCAAAGACATACGTTATACATTTTTTAGTTGTGTGTCTTGAAAACTTTGTCGTTACTTATGAGTGCCCTTCAATCATATTTGTCAGAGAGACAACTTACTTCATCGGCGAGCAACTCGAGTTGTCCTGTTATATATCTTCAATATGAAATTGTAAAATGCCCGGAAATACGATCAATGGAGAAGGCCTATAGCTTGTGCTAAATTTATTAGAGTACTTGTATTTCCAGGAAGAGGATGAAAACAGCCGTCTCCTGTTAGACACTTCATGCGTGCTTGAGAGAGCAGCAGATGCGCTGAAGAGTCTGCGCAATGTTCCGGCCATGGTATGTAGACTCGATCTGTTTCCTTATTTCATATGGCGTTGATGACGTAACCGCCAAGATCGGTGACTACAACTAGCAGCGTACCATGTCGATTAGAAATCATCGTGTGTAGACCTTCGGAGCCATCGCACCGAACTGATTTTCATCAAGTCATCAAATGCATTAGGGAATTAAATAAGCCGCCGAAGACGAGAAGGCAACAGCAAGCAGTCTGCTTCGATCGCGGTGCACGGCTCTGCTTGATGGCATTCAATCAACTGGATGTTCGTTAGGTGGAACATGATGGAGGAGGCGATTGACACGGTTAAAAAGAAAACGGAAGAGACTTTGATACTGTATCAGTCATTTGATGTTATCCGCTTTTCCAGTAGGCCAAATCCAACCAATTAAGACTAGTCTACCGTTTGTTTGCCGCCAGGTTGGCAGTTGTTGACATTTCACATTAAATTCGTACTTAGCTGCTAAAACATGTGCGTGGGTTCCATACAATCCCAGTGTTCCAGACAAATGCCGAAAATAGTGAGGGTTTCTGTGGATTGCAAATAGCAGTTTAAACTGAATAACTACTATTATAGTCATAGGCCTTGAGAAAAGGTATAAAGCTCAACATCGGGATTTTTCCTGGACAGTTGAGAGATAATTTTGATTCAATGCATTGCACTTCTTGTTTCATTCAGCGCTCAGTCCCAACCTAAGGAAAATGCAAAATATTGGAGACAAACCAAATTTCTTGATGGATACTGAAAATGACCAAACGAAACTTAAATGTAGTTGAATTTAGCTAAAATTTAACTTTTTCGAGTCTCGAGTTAAGTAGCAACTTTGAAGTCTTCTTTTAGTGCCACAAGGTTATATGGAGGAAGATCAGTACATAAAAAAAACTATGTCAAATTGATTGAAATACTTAGAAATATTTTTACTGGATGAGTATAGTGACACAATGATATAATAGCAGGAGTTTCCACATTCTGTTCCACTAGGTATTTGGTTTTATCGAAGAATCTGCTCTGATCACAACTATTTAGAAAAACCAACGAAAATTCATGAAAGTTG